TCCTCCCTTCTGCTTTTTTTGCTCCCTTGTCCTGTGAACCTCCTCAGAGCCTCTCTTTACATATCTTCCAAATCGAAAATGATTATGGATCTGGTCAGCTGGTCTCTCAACGCAATTGATAAACATTTATTCAAGGAGACAGGGTGAAGGAGAGCCCTCTTACCTCGGAAACATAATTGAATTTATGATAACTGGATTCTGCTTTTTTGGAGTTGGTGGAAATCTGGAATGTCGACAAATTCAGAAACGTCAACAGCTGCTTAAGCTTGGCAACAATCAGACTGTGTACGAACTAACTGTGGGCCTGTATCTGAGCTGAGCAGGCAGGACTGTGGAACTTTGTAGCAGTGTTCACGGACGGTTGGAAGGACTAGATCTTGGAGAAGTTGTAAGCCCGACTTAAGTAATCACAGTTCGGCTGTTTGGAGTTGCCATTGAGTGTACCAGCAGAACTGAAGGCAGACATGTCAGTAGAGTCTGCCTGCCTAAAACAATTGTTGTGTTATCTGAGTTTGGCCTCCCTGCTGGCCTTGGATAGGCCAACTTATCTCAAATTGCTCCCCCTTCCCGAGGACATCTGTGTCCTTGTCAGAATTGTGGCGCTGATAGACACTGCACCATCTTATCAGAACTTTGGAACTTTCTGGAGTGTCCATGGACAACTCAACGCCTTTGTCGACCTCTATGCATAAATGTATTATGTCAATGTACGTTGCTGTTTATGCTGCAATGTTGTTTTTGTGCATCTTTTACACTGTGCCCCGGCCAAGACCTGGTGTGAGACATGTTTTTTTTTTTTTTTATTTCCTCCACCCTCGTGTTCTCTTTTCCTCATCTACTCTGTATGTTGTATGTAACAGGTCTCTCTTGTAAATGAGTTCCTGAGGCTCAATGGGAACTAACATGTATAAATAAAGGTTGAATGAAGAAAAGAAACAAAGCAGGAGTTCAAATCAAGTATTTGTTTAAAAATATTGTGTAAAAGCTGCAAGTGTGATTTTCTATTATTTCTGTGTATGTGCAGTATTTGTTCCTGCCAGGTTGAATTTTACTTGTTAAGCATGACATCGTCTAACAGCCTCATAGAAAATGTGATCACCACAAAAGTTTTAGAAAATGAGAACAAGAAGTAGTTAAATGATCAAATTAATCCTCAGTGTCAAACGTTCTTGTTGTTCAAGCATTACTGAAGCACTCAAAACACTCCAGGAAATGTTCAGACTTTTTTATTTAATGCCGAGTCCCTTTAGGCTCTTTAGAGCAGCTCCCAGATGGAGATGGTGTGGATCTCCCCAACAGTCTGGATGACTTGTATGAGCGTCCATGAAGGCAGCAACATGCTTAATTCAGAGCACAGCATGCCCCGAGGCAGAACAGAAGTGAAATCTGTTTTCTGGTGCTCTGAACGAGGAAAAATGTCCCCATTTACTCTGTATGAGTTATTTACATTGTAATTTGCATTGCTGACATGTTGATACTTTATGGTTTTATACTGACATATTTTTTGTCAAACTAAAATTAAACCACTGCGTTGCAAAGTCAGATTTCAAGCTATCTTTAGTGTTTTTATATGATTATCACAGGTACAACCGCTTGTTTTTACCCTTTTTTGATCTGTAAATTACAGCAAAGAGTCTCAAAACAAGAAACACAAGTTAACCATTATCCATTGTTGTGCATGTACAGTTAAGTAACGCTAGTTTCCCAGTACAAACACAATATTTAGTCTTTATGTTACTGGAAATAAACTGCATCATCATTACATCTTCTGCCTTTGATTATGTTTCTGTGCTTTCCTAAAATTATGTTAATTTACCAGAACCATTATTTCCATGCTGTTCTTTGTTGACCATTATTTTTTTGCTATTGTAAAAGCAAAGAACTGTGGGTATATCTTGTACTGATGGTAAGATGCAGTATTTTTGTGTATTTCTGTTACTGTATGTTCATAACCAGTGATTTACCGTAACTTAATATGAGCACTGTTGCCAGTACTTTACCACTGTAATCATTTTGAAAGAATAAGTTTGCTGTTCTTAATAAGAGCTGCAGAAACCCTGATTGATAATAGATATTCATTTCAGCCGTTACAAAAAAGATAAAATAAAAGCCATAAATGAAAAAAATATATTTGACAGCTCCTTGCTAAAGGTATTTTCATTAATGTTAGCAACAGTTCAGGAGTTTGCAAGTTTTTTTTTTTTTTCCTGTGGGTCAACAGCTGAAAAATTAGAGAACATCTTCATTAAATGTCTTCATACTTCCTGCCTGATCAAGTCAGCTGATTGATCTATAGTTTCCTCCCTTTTCACCCTCTTTTAACCTATTGATCTTCTACCAGCTTTACATGGTTGATGGTAGCTTTTTGCTCACTGTAACACTGAACCACCTGTTCACCATTTTCAATTTAAAGTTAAGGAGTTTAGATGATGATGATGATGAAGGAGACTATTGTGGATTTCAAAAGGGACAAACACGCTTACACCCTCTGCACATACAGTAGGAGGATCTGAGGTGGAAGTGGTCCCCACAAGTACTTGGGTGTGCACCTGAATGACAACCTCAGCTGGAGCAACAACACCACCAGCCTGATCAAGAAAGCTCATCAGAGACTCTACTTCCTCAGACGGCTGAGACGAGCTGGACTGGGAAGCTCAGTCCTCACCTCCTTCTACAGGTGTGCAGTGGAGAGCATCCTGTGCTCCAGCATCAACATGTGGCATGGAGGCTGCACAGCTGCAGAAAGAAAAGCTTTGCAGAGAGTGGTGAAGGCTGCACAGAAATCTGTTGGAATCAGTCTCCCCACCATCACAGACATCTACACCTCCAGATGCAGGAAGAGGGCCACCTGCATCATGAAGGACCCCACTCACCCAGCACACATGTGTTTGTCCCACTCCCCTCAGGCAGGAGGTTCAGGAGCATTAATTGTCGAACCACTAGACTGAGGAACAGCTTCTACCCTGAAGCTGTTAGACCCATGAATCTCTAACCAGAAAAAATCACTGTAATGCCACTTTAATTGGATATTTGACACTTTATCTGTGCTGCTGATTATCCATGCTGCTGATTTCATGTCTTTAAGTTGCTGTATTCATACCCATCTACTCACAACAGACTCATGTTCAGGCTGCTGTATATTATTGTTTAGTGTATATCTTAGATCCTTGTATACTGTTTCTTTTCCATATATACTTTATATTATGGTTATTTTTGGGTGTAACTGGGACATTGAGTACACAGTTTCATTCCACCTCATGTACCACATGTGATGCTCACGACAATAAAGGCTCCTTGAACCTCAGCATTCTGTGGCCAATGGATTTAGTCATTTTACTGAGTTTTGTACCCACAAGCTGAAATAAATCCAAGGTTTGAGTGCCACAAAGATTCTTACCCTGAGGACCCCAATTTGTTTTTAGCAACACGTGTTGTTAAAATATTAATTTCTGTTACTATTTTGTTCTACTAATGATCTGTGAACGGTCTTTTAGAAAACATGTGAGGGTTAGTCTGGGCTGCCTCCTCTCCTGCAGTCTTGACTCACTGTGTTGCTGTGGTTTATGGTCCGTGCACGATGGGCGTGCTGCCGTGGGATGTTGTGCAACATAAACTCTCAGAAAATAATGTCACTAAACCAATTTTAAAGCTGGACCAATAGACGTGTTTAAATCTATATATTTGGCTCGTTCAGTTTAAACAACTATGAAGAATCAAAGCGGCAGAAACATGAAAATGAGAAACGAGCTAAAGAAGCAGAACGAGCAAACAGAGCAGCAGGAAGGGCTGGAGGAAGGAACTGAGGCGTTCTGATCATAAAAAGTGCAAAATACATGCAGGAGAGGAAGGACGAAGATGAAGACTTGAAAAGAAAAAGGGAAGCTTAACTGAGCATCTCTCTGATACAGATGCAGCAGGGGGGTGGAGATCCAAGGGGACGAGTGGCACAAAGAGATGGCAGCAGAAAGAGATGAGGAAAAAAGACGAGAGAGAGAGAGAGAGAGAGAGAGCTGGAGCAGCAAGACAGAAAAAATAAGCATCAAGCAGAGAGACGAGTTGAGCTCAGGAGGACAGAGAGTCAGAAACAGCAGGAGAGACGAGAAACAACTGAAGCAGGAATACAGCAGGAGGTAAAGAGACGTGGAAGAAAATATCTGATTTTTCTGTAAAACATCTCTGATCTGATCTCATGGAGGAGATGAAACTTTTCTTTTCACATTTGCTTTCTTTACACATGACAGCCATATTTGTAGTTATGCGAGACCCAGTCTGTTAGAGGGAAACACTCGGGGGATGTTTAAAGACATAAAAGCAGAGAAAACTTTCTACAAGGAAAATGATAACCTGATAACAAATAACGAGGAAAAATATAAAAGAGGTGGCACATTAGAGACGAGTGGAGGAGAGAGATGACATCTTGAACATGACTGCCTCGCTTTAAAACATTTCTCCTAAATTTCTCTCATTCAAATATCACAGTTCTCATTTAAACTACTGTATAAAGTAAAAACACTCAGGCAAGGCTAGTTTAGACCAAGAGTTCATAAAACGAACCATTTTTATTTTGAACAGAACTTTTCTCTCTTTTCCACTCAGCTGCTCAGGAGTTTGAAAACTGAATCTGCAAATACGACGCTGCGCTCCAGCAGATAATCCCAAATGTTTTGGTTCCAATCAACCAGCTCCACTGATGTCTGCCTTGGTCAGATCCTGGGAAACAAGGAATGTAATCTAAAGTAGCATAAGAGCAAAATTCACCTTTTTTATTTAGCCTCAGAAAGATTTGTATTCGCTTGAAAGCACCAAAACTGCAACAACCTTCCACTCTTGCGCATCGCAGAATAAACCAAATTAACATGAGAAGTCAGGCTTTTTGCACGTGGCACATGCACTTTCTATTATCCAGGCGTTGTGACAATAAAATTTAAAGCTTTCTCTTTTCGTCTGACCACCTTTGTCATCCTCCCCCAGGAAAAGTAAAAAGCGCGCGGCCACCTTACCTTCTCCGGTTGTCCCACGCAGGCTCAGCAGAATCCAGACTAGTCGAGGAATAATCCCAGAGACTTTCTTAATCCCCATGTCCTCTATGAATAAAAGGGCGGCTGCAGAGAAAGTCTGCTGCTGCTGCTGGAGGAGACTGACGAGCTCTCCTCTCCAGCTCCAAGAGAGATCTCCTCCAACCCGTCAGAGGAGAGGGATGGAGGGAGGAGAGGAGAGATGGAGGTGAGAAGGGATGGAGGGAGGGAGGGAGCGCACGCTGCGCACCGTTTCAGCTGCTACGCGTTGGAGCGCAGGAAGTACCAGCTGCTGATCTGAAACCATTTTAACAAGTTAAGACTGAGTCTGCTCCTGAAGATGAAGAGGTGAAATAATTATCAAACAATGAAATTCATAACTTTCCCTTTAAGGGATGCATATCGCCCGCCATCATTCATGCCTGAGTTTGAAGCCTAACTCGTGTTAAGAAATGAGTTTCAGCCATTTCGATCAAACCTTAAAAACTGTTTTGTGATTCATGCAATATTGTGATAATTGCAAGATGTTATGGCTCAGCTATTACCGCGTCAAATTTGAGCTCATTACAGTCATCGCTATTATGTTGACTAATACTGATTTAGCTGTGAAAGCCATCTTGAATGGAGTTGACTCTGAAAGGTAATCCGTTGCAGATGTTCATGAGATTCTTTATGAATAAAATTATTTCAATTAGGGGAAAAACATTCAAACCAACCTTCCTACTATCGCCTCTGGTTCTGTGTCAGACGAGACAACTTTAAAAATGTCACTGAAACCTAGAATATTCCAGGATGGCAAGACAGAGCAAGCTGAGCATCAAGAAAGGAGTGTGGCAGGACGGACCTCAGGGATGGATGGTTCAGTCATGTTCAGTCTATCGTTGTAGGCTGTAGATGACTTGTTCCAGTAGGACACAAGGAGAAGCTACAAGGAGGGTCCAGGGAGTAAGGAGCAGAGATTCAGGAGTAACAAGGAGAACAAAGCTTTAATCTTGAATGGGAACTCGGGTGGCAACATGGTTCAGTTGGTACAGCTGCTGCCTCAGCAAAAGATCGCTGAATCAAATCCTGGCCCGGGACCTTTCTGGGTGGAGTTTGCATGTTCTCTCCGTGCATGTGTGGGTTTTCTCCGGGTACTCTGGTTTCCTCCAACAAACCAAAAACATGCATGTAGGCTGATTGGTAACTCTAAATTATCAGGTGTGAGTGAGGGAGTGATTGGTTGTTTGTCTCGTGTGTCTCTATGATGGACTGGAAACCTGTCCAGGGTGTCCCCCACCTCTCACACATTGTCTACTGGACATGAGCACCAGTGACCCCCGTGATCTGAAAAGGAAGAAACGGCTAAAACATAATGGATGGTGGATAACTCGTGAGCAAAGTTTTAACTTGATGCTGTTTGTTGGATCAGAAGTTGAAACTTTAATAATTAAACAGTTCAGGTGACAAAATGTGGATTGGTTAAATCATGTAAGAATGGGGATTGGAAGGGCAGAATTCAGTAAAATGGCATTTCATTTGTAAAGTGATTCAACATCTTAGTGTTTGTAGATGGTGTCGTCCTGCGGCTCGTCCAACCTCCTGTTGTTGCAGCTTCCATGTGATTCAACATTCATCTTGTTACTGAGGTAATGTTGAAGCATTAGTTTGTTGTTAAGCATAATTTTTAAGCCTAGCATCAAGAAAATTAACAATAGTTTAATAAAAAGTATCTCTGGGCATAAAGTTTCTATTTGTCTCGTGTCTGTTGGACTTCTAGTTTGCTTGAGTTTACACATTTTTGTCTGAAACATAATTTCCATTCGTATGTTCCTTGGTTTGAATTTTTGTTAGTTTGGTTCCTGTTTTAATTTAAAACTACAGGATAAAGTTTTTTTTTTTTAATGACAGCTTCTCCAAACTAAAACCATGCATGGAACTGCTCAAACTAACCCTCCTTTCTGTGACCTGCAGGCTCTCTGCAGAAGTGCGCATTTGTTAGTACTCGGAACAGGCTTTTACTTTGTACTTTTAATTTTCACAAAAGGGCTGCACGCCAACAATTGATTTGCATGCGAACAAAATATGATCCACACGGGATGATCTTTTATTTTCGTTTTTGTAAGCTTGGTTTGGAAAAGAGGGCTTTTTGCAGCTTTTTGTTAAAACAATAATTGACACTTAAAAAAAAAAGAAACACTCTGCTTTGCATTTCAGCTCCGGAGCAATTCAGGTCCACTTTTCATGCAGGTTTTCTGGCAGCCAAAGCACTCGAATTCACATTAAACACAGTTTTATCTCTAATAAAAACTGAATATATTCAACCAATCACCATACAAAATCATGCAGTTTTTTTCTGGAATAAATTAGAGTTGCATGCACCAGCACTGCACTAAAGGCAAATGGACTGAAAATTCATTAAAAAAAATAAAATAAAATACATGGGGGTGATAAAAGAGGAAAAATAATTTGGCACACCATTTTCATGCAGCTCATGCAGTTGGCCGTGTAGAATAAAACCGCTCTGTTAGCTCAGATTCACGCCCCTTTCAGTGGGCGAGAGGGGTAACCGTGAACCCTCATGGGAGAGGAGCTCTTGGTAGCATTCAGGAGGCTTTTACATTGAAATAAAGAGCTTTGAAAACAAAGAGGAGAAAAGGAGACGTGCAGAGAGGGTCAGCGGGGAATCTGATAATGAAAACCAACGACGAGTGCAGACAGCAGGGAAATCAGTCAGGAGAAATCGCAGTCCTGGAATCAAATAGCACTGATGGTGAAGTCTGCACATGCTCAGACAGATGTGCAGCAGATCTCACTGACCTGTAGGCAAGATTCACTCAAACAACTTTCAGTGTGATGGAAACAAACATTCAAGTGGAGCGAACAACAAGCCGTCGGATCAACGGGTCGGTCTGTTGACAAGTAACTTGTTGCAACATTTAATTTCACACGTTCTCTCTTTCTTTTTGCTTCTTCAATCAAAATGACGCTTGTTTTAATTTTTGTTTTGCTGCATCTCGCTCCGAAACTGAACCACAACATAGGAAATGTGAGACAAGCAATTTGTTAAAGAAAATGAGAGCCGCTGACTAAAAGTTTTCTCATTTTTCTCAAGGTTTGGCCTCAGAGTGATAATTTTATAAACATGTTCAGCTGAAAGACGTTTGCTTTGTAACTTTGAGTGCTCTGCAGGAAAAACGGAGTGCCTCATTGAGTTGCTGCAGTGAATAGGGTTAATTGTCCAGTAGGTCTATTCAGAAAGCATGAGGCTAACAGGAGGATCAAATACTCTGTGTGTAAAGAAGCATTTAGATCAAGAATAAGGCGTGCCTGACATTGGTGCTCTGATTTACACATCACCTGTTAAAGCTGTGAGTTTTGTGCGGCTCGTCTTGTTGGACAATTTAATTATCCTATCATGGACTCATTAAATAAATAAGCCACAAAAAGGACAATGAGAAGATCTTCTCAACCCAGATTTAATCTTGCAAGAGGAGCAGGATTGAAAACAGGCGTCAAGAAGTTACACGAATCCCTGCTCACATGGTCCGCCAGCGAACAGCATAAAGGAGCATCAACTTCTAGCGCTTATCAGAAAAGACGAGGTCAAGACAACTCTGCTTTCCAGTTTAGGAGCCTTGAAGTTTATCAGGTGTGCAGGCTCCACTTTGTTCAGACAAAACAACTCTCAACTCACGGTTCTATATTAATTGAACATTAATAAGTGGAAAAACATCCATGACCTTTACATAACCATCCCCCATCACATCTGCAGTACAAAATGCAGTTCAGCATCAGAACGAGGAGTCTCCTTAACAATCGACGCTCCTTAAATTATCTGTAAGGCTGAGATTAGCCACCCCCCGGAGGAAGCGCATCTCAGTTTTCATCCAGGTTCTTATTCTTTGATGCCCCTTGTCCACAGTTCCTCCTTGGCCCCGCTTTAACATGCTCAGGCCAGTTCAGTGTTCTTTTCCACAGGGCCTTCTTTGTGGAACCGGCCTGTTTTTTCAGTACCAACTTCTCTGCGATTCCATTGAGGCCAAGCAGCACCCTAAAACGTGACGTCAGCGCACTGTCAGTTACGGATTGGTCAGAGGGCGGAGTCATTGGTCAGAGGGCGGAGTTTCAGAAACTTTCACCGCAACCCGATCCGTCATTTCCTTTTTAACCTGCCATTCAAAACAACTTGAATCTGGAGGAGCGTGTTTTGGAGTATTTTGAAGGTATAAACAAAAAATAATGTCACAACCGTGGTCCAACGCTGAAGTTCAGGCGTTTTTGTGTTTGATGGCCGATGAAAAAGCTCAGAGCGAGCTAGATGTTGGGGCACGTAATGAGAAGGTTTTTAAAGAAGTGTCGGTGCGTTGATAATAATGATCCGCCCACTAAATGGGCACTAATGGGCACTGTGGAAACGGGAAATGAAGCGATCCGACCTGTACCGGCCCAGTAAGGGCAGAGCAGGACGAGGGTCAGAATGAAGAGAGGCCAGTAAATTGAGAGCTTTGCCTTCTTTGTTTCTTTTTCACACCAACAAATCCAAGCAGTGCCCTTGAGACTGAGACCCCCGATTCATTGATCCATCTACTGTACCTCTTCTTCCTACATCTCAGCTGGAAATCCTTGAAAGATGGGGGTTCGAACCATCAGCCTAATTTTTGTAAAAATAGAGATCAAGATCTTCAAATTTAGCTGCAAGCCACATGAAGATGCCAACATCATCTACAAAAATTAGAGACCCAAACCCGACACCTTCCTCTTCGCAACAGCACCTTGAATCCTGTCAATGAAGACCACAAACAGAATCAGAGACAAGGAACAGCTCCGGCTGAGTCTTACACACACACCAATAATGTTCAATCAGGTCATCTGGACAGTTTCTTTTGTGTGGAAAGACGTTTCACCCTCCAGCTGGAGGGCTTCATCAGTCTGAGGACCTGATTGACCATTATTGGATTTTGTACCTGGATGATTGAGCATGAACTTTGATGTCTTACACACACCAAGGATGAGCTCCACTTTGTGCCAAGGATGTGGACACAGCTCCTGCTTTGTTATAAAGGGACAAATGAAGTTCATCAC